TATATATATATATATATATATATATATATATATATATATATATTGTGTGTGTGGCAACAGGAAGATGACAAATGAAGGAGAGGAATCGTTGAGAACTGTTTGATTGACAGAAGGATGATCGGTATGTGCTGTTTGTGTCTAGATAACACTTCGTCGACGATAGCGTACTCCACCGTAGAGGTAGTCAAGAGCGCGTTTTGCCAGATCTCTCCCCTCCTCCGATGCCTCGAGTGCTTCTCTGAGGGGCTCCAACCCCTCCGCCTCTGCTGCCTCCTGGGCTGCCGCCTCAGAGAGGGGATATAGTGCAGGCTCCATGTAACGTTTGTAGCGAATCCCTCCAATTAAGTAGGGCAATCGACGTTTAATGGAGTCACCTCCATCATGACCTACAGTAGCCGCCTTTTGAAGAAAAAAGGGACAAATTAGGGAGTAAATGGCGCTACTTAGGGCAACATCTTCAGTGGTAGCAAGTTATCTGTCATTTTGAATTGACCGATCAAAACGAATTATTTCCTATTAGACATTTTAGAGGACCTAATTTGTACCAAGATGGTTTAATTCAACCGACACTTTGGGTTTCACAGCTTTCACCACAATAGTAGGTGATAGGAGACAAGCATGCGCCGTCACCCCTCTCAAGGGCAAGTGAAACCCAGACACGGTCCATTAAGATGTCCGACGGACACCAATGGCAGTGAATGTGTGCAGACATACAACAGCGTGCGTTAGTAAATTCGGTTTCGCGCCCACTATGATACCAAAATTTTTACTTGTGGACACTTACAGGAGACTTCGTTGACAGATGACCTTACATCTGTGGGTGATAATCACACTAGTCATGGTGGCTCCTCTGCTTCAGCTAATACCAGTCGTACTCAGAAACATTCACAGTGTAAAGCACCTAATTCTCAATGCCTAATTAAAGGATAACCTATCGTGTGACAAGTGACAATTTTTTCCGGCGGAACAGTGGGCTTAAGCACCCATCCGCGACCATATAAGATGTGGAAAGGCGTAAACACACATGGCACCTCAGACGTAGCACAATATCTCAGCCGTACCGACCAGGCCCTCACCACCACAAGAAATGTATGCTTTTGATAAGGAGCTATGTTGAAGTTTCTCCCATTTCCCCTTCCTCCTCTATAATATCGAAGTCCCGATTTGTCCTGAACGAGGTTTAACTTCTCATTTGCCGTGGAAATCTTTCCCTTTATACGAGTGTAAAAGGCAGAACAGAGATCCTCTTGTATCCTGTTAATCTAGGCCCTAATATTGTCTTATAAATTTGGGTTCTGTTTTGCCGATTTTCCGGTTGTTTTCTTGCCTCTGAACGCGTAAAAAACATCAAACCTCTGGGTGAAATAAATTAATCCTCATTTCTTCCCCTCAAATACCGGGATGAACACTTAATTTATGGGCCAAAAATAAAAGAAATTTTCCTAGAAAATTCCCAACCTGAGGTTGAAAATACCTCGAAAAGATTGTTATCCTTCCACTTTTAAGGAGGAGGGAGAGAGGACCTTGTTTCCTGTACCAAGCGCGAAGAGAGGTAACTGCATTACTGATTGGCCCAGAGGTACCTCCAAATCGAGTTACTTTCTCCCCAAGGGCCCCAGAATTCTAAGTTTTCCTTTATTTATTTATTTTATTCTATAGAGCAATTTACGTAGACGAGGCTCCTGTCCTCTTCTGTGTCAGTTCCGCCTATTCTGTTGGTGTTACTGCGCTGAGGTAAAAACATCACCTACCAAACACCCTTTCCTCCAATGCCAGTTTGATACGCTGGCCAAGAATACTACTTAACCTTTTCCTCTCCAAGGCGAAAAAGACCACTCTTGTCCGTAAAGTGAACGAAGGAAGAGATGAAACATTGGCCTGTTTCAGTGTGGCATCAACTGGATAGGCGAAAAATTTGACCTTGCCTTTTTAAATATTAGTGGGTCTTTCTTCCTAATTCCCAATTTTCGTTAAAAGGCCTTTTAAATATCGGAATTTCCCGTTTCTTCTGTAAAAATAGTTATTATTTTTTCACCATTCTTATAACAACAAGAAGAAAAGAAGAAGAATTAAACATGGCTAATACAGTGGTTTAGGACCATCAGATGGGTAGATTTGGCATTTATTCTATGCCTACCATACCTGTGACAGCCACACTCAGTCTGTCAGTGGTTACCAAGATAGACTTCGGGTTGTTGACATGACCTCGTAGTCAAAGGTGGTCAAACACGCGTGGTGCTCTAGACGCAACAACTTTGGTGAGACGAAGACAAAAACCCACGATATGCCAAATGCGCGTAGTCTACGACACTGACGAGACTCTAAGTAGTGTTCTGTGGTGTCATACCTCAAAGTTTTGAAATGTTTCAGAAGACAAACTTTAAGCTTTGAGTTAATGCTGCCGAAAAATTACGGCTGTCTACTTCACCCCCGGTTCTTGACAGGACAAATATAAGAAGGTCCCCATATTTAATTGCTTTTTACTTTCATCTCCGCGCATTTTATCTGAATGGAGGCTCTGTTTACGTGACGACAGCTACACGTAATGCCCTCAAATTATCACGTACAGACGGATTTGAACATTAAACCTGTCAACTGTTGACGCGTCTCACTCGCTTACTTCATACATACATGCATGATCCAATGAATTTAGGGGGGGGGGGGGGCAGGAAAGAAACAAAAGGAAAGGCAAGCTTAAGACCAAGCGCAGATGAGACTAAGGGTTTATCTCTTTTGAGGTTAATTTAGAGTACAGGATAGGTACAATTATTTTTTGTTTCACTTTGAATGGCGTGGCCTTCGGGGCGGCTACTAACACGGTTTGAGTAGTATACTAGCCCCAGTACCTTGGCTTATTACGACTTTGGAGGAGGCTCGGAGCGCTACAGCGGACATGTCAAATCCTATTACTTCTTTGTTAAGCAATAGCTCTTTTGGAAGGGGAATGTGATTGTGTCATCTGAGCAGATGGCGAACACTGTAGTCTCTTCTTTCAAAATGGGGAAATAAACCACAGGTTGGTCTACGTATCTTTAACCCGCTGCGCAGATTTAATTTGCAGCAAATTTTGTTCCCAGTGTTTAAATGCCACTGACATATTTATAAAGCAGCTGACAGTAGGACTTGTTTCGAAGTAAAAAAATCACTTATCCCTGTATCATGGTGGAAAACTCAGGAAAGGAAAATAAATATTTTTCACCTATGAATAACGCCTAACATTTTGTCACCTAGAGACATCAAGGTGGTTTTAGGGTCACAAGAAGGCAGATTAAAAGAGGGGAAAGAAAAAGTACTTACTCCGTACGATTTACGAATCAAAACAGCAAAATTTAGCTATTCTTCGGTACTCGAATGAATTTCGTTTGACTGTGTGCTTGAATACGCGGACACTTCAGCTTTGGTAGGATGTTCTTGGCCTCTGCAGCGGGACGCCCTGGTTACAGCTACTAACCCGTGACTTTTTACAACCTCGGGACGCTGCAAGTATTCAGAATGGTCAAACGGGGACGACTTTAAACGCTGTAAATCACCACTTCAGTAGCGTCAGTGATGCGTTGGATATAGTTTCTATTCTTGAACCCCCTTCACTTCAAAGGCAATCGGGGTTTAAGAGACTACTGACGCTGAATATTTTCTAGGCCAGTCTACTTCTCGCCCTTTTAACGAACTCGAAATTAGACAAAAACTGGAAAATGAAGCAAATTTATTTCGTTGGGGTAAAAGAACCTTTTTGAATGTCCCATCATGATGACCCCGGGAACAATTGAATGTGCCATTTCTCAGCAAAGGCGCGGCAACTATGCCTTGCCATCAAATGAACGCGTTAATTTTCCAAAAAAGAGGCTTCGACAAAACGTCAAAAAAAGAAATAGTGAGCAGGTGTATTTTGCTTCAGGCCTAATCTCTTTTTCGTGCTTTTGGACAAACATGCGGACTGAGAGCGGCAAAGGAGGATGAGGGGTACAAAAGCCTGACGGCTGGATCTACCCCTCCTCTCCCTACGCTTGATCAGTGCTGCCTTTTCCCTCCTTCCCTCATTTATTTTTTTCTGACTCCAAGCTAATCATATTTTATTTAACAGACGCCAGTCTACTTCATCATGTTCAAATTACGCCTCGTTGGAACGCAGTCACATTTAACGAAAAATGCGAAATTGCGTGACACTTTCCATTTTAGCCATACTAGCATGTCTCGGACTAACCAGGCAGCAGAGTAGTGAATGCATAAATAAATAATACGCGACTAAATCTCGCCTTAGGTAAAGAGATGTGAAACGACCTGTCAAAGCGGTCTATGGTTGGAAATGAATTAACTTAATGGAATGCCTCAGTGCATTTTGACAGGTCCATCTCTGAGGGCAGTTTTGTATCTAGCCGCAAAAGGTGCGACAAATCTGGTGGTATCTCTGTTAAATAAACTGAATTTTAGTGCAGCTTTTAAGGTTGCAGTTGATAAGCCATGCCAGCGTCTTTCAAGGGTGTGATTTTTTTATTTGTCTCATGCAAAAACAATAAGTGGTTAAAAATATAAGTGAAAATCTCTCTCTTTGTGTTAAAATAGTCTATATCTGTTTTTAATGTCAAAAAGGAATAAGTGGACTCACATTTGCGCTCGGTGAAATTGAGATGCAGATGAGGAGAACTTGAAGATGACAAAATAAAAAACAGCTTTTTAGAGCAAAAGATACCTAAAAATGACCTATTTTAAGTAAAAATTGGCAAGAAATCACATAAAATGGACTACGAATTTATTTAAAGGCTCAAAATTGGGCTTTTCTGGTTTATCATCACCACACAACTACTGACAAAATCCCAGCGTCCATGGCTGAAGGCGAAATAAATTAAAAAAATAAGGGCAATACTTACCAAGTGGAAAACCACTGATAACCCCACCACGTACACTAACTAACGGCATCATAGGAAATTCTGGGGCCTAGACAGAGCCGGGGACTGCCGCCTTCCCTTTTTCAGGTTGTTCTGGTTGCCTGGGTCAGGCCTGAGACCTTTTATACGTGTCCATCGCTACTCCTCCTTCCCTATTGGCTGCGTCTTGTGGCGGTAAATGTGAGTTGGACCCAAATGAGCCAACTATAACGATAGGTTAGAGAGGGGGGTAGGTTGGCGCAATAATCTCTGTGATGTGTGTGCGTGCGAAGGGTGAAAAAGCATACAAGGTGAAAGTGGATCTGGGAGTCGGAAAAGGGAAGCATGTAGGGGCAGACCAGAGTCGGGAGGGCACCTTGAAAAGTTATTTGCTTAAAAGAATATTTAGATAAATTGGTAGGGTTTTAGGCACTGCATATTTTGGCTCGATGCATAAAATGCACGGTCGCTTGTAGGGCTATGCGGGGTTCTTTAAGGTCTGGTAATACGTCAGGCTATCGGTATGATGCCTCTTAATTGTGTCCTCTTCAATCTTTATTCATTTTGAGTGTCTGCTGAGTCTGACAGGTGACTGTTATTTGAAATGACCTAAATGTGATTCCAGAGTTGCAAAGACTTTTCATCCACTGCGTTGCAGAGCGTCCGAAAGCTACTGGGGAAATTGTGGTTGATCACACACACATGAACAGGTGATAATGCGCTCTAATAGGCATCAATTTTTTCCTATCTTCACCCCTTTTACGAACAGAAAGGTTTCGTTTTAAGGTTGCTCATTGACTGACATGTGAGATGGCACGACTTCTGTATTCCACAGTTCCTCTTCTTCAACCTATTTTCTCGTGAAGATGTCCTCTTTAGGATAACAGAAAAGGAGATAGTGGTCCATCCCCATTCTTCGTATTCTTTCCGCAACCTTTCAAGGTCGGATTATTTTGTTGGCTTGGATTTGGTTAAGGCTGCTATTATTTTCGTTTCAAAGTAAAATACAAGATTTGGAGAAATAGTTTAAGATTTTGTCAGCATTCGGAAGTAAAAGTGGGAACTTATATTATTTTCCTAGAGCTTATTGAAAATCCATTTCCGATTTCGAGGGTAATACTACTTATTTCAGCTTTTTAGAATTAAGCAGGTGCACGTTAAAAACTTGTACTAAACTTCGCGATGCTTAGCAATGAGAAATTTTGTATTTTTGTGATGTCTTGTCAGTACGATGGTGTTAAAGGAACGTTGATTTGCTACTGCATTTCCTTCCCGTGTGGTAGTACATTAGACGGAAAGCCCCAATTTCGGAACCAAGTTGGACTAAGATGGTGATGTTGACAGCCTGAAATCACCTTCATCCGATTTAGCCGACAATAGGACAATAAGGAGTATAAAGTCCCCCGCCGAGAGATGGAAGTACACCAACGCAGGTGAACAATCGCATAAATTATGCTAGGTAAAAAGTGTTGGTCCAAAAACTTGCTTTAAAGCGATCCAAGACTTTACAGTCTCGGCGGAAAAAGGATAAAAAGTTTCTGTATCAAAAAACAGACATCAGATTTTTTGCGTTTTTGTAACGTGTTATTTTATCACCTGGAGTTAATTTTACAGGATACTTTCCGCCAAACTTTTTGCGCTCAACTATGCTTTTCTTAGGAACTACTTACAGTAAAAATCCTTTTTTAGGTCAGTCGTTGGAAGTAAAATATTTACGTGGTTTTGCTCTTTTGCCTTCGATTGCGCACTCATAGACAGTAGAGGTTGGTCAGGCAGCGACATTATGTGCTTTGGTAGTGTTGAATTCGCCTCCTCGACGAAGATCGATGACGCCATCTCAGCGGGCGCGAGGAGCACTGCGGGCTGATCACTTGGGAAGAGGAGGAAAGGCCTCGTTTTCTTACAAAAGGGTAGCACTTTGCATCAGCGTCAAGTTTTCCCATGAAGAGATTTCATACCGCACATTGGGAGGGGAGGAAGAAGGAAGGAGACACTTCCTCTCCCTCATCATCGCCTGCCCTTTGCATTTGACAGACAGTTCCATGCAAAGTGCAGCAGCCGGTAGGAAATGAGGTGAGGTGGAAAATGGAGTTGCCACTTGCTTGCTACATGCGTCAGCTTGTACCACGTTGCCAAAATATGACAAAATGCACCTAGTGCATTATATCATCAGACACCTCGAGAATCTTCCAGGCTTCCCCGTCTTAAGTTTGCAGGGAATCCACCAAATGCTCAAACTATCCCTCCTCCCTCTGTGGAGGACAAATTTTAAGCCTGGCAAACTAAAAAAAGCAAAAAGGCGAAACTTCTGACTAAACCACTGTCTCATTTCGAATGTCTAACGGTGCCAGAAAAAAGCATTAAACACGACCGTAATAATAATAATAATAATAATAATAATAATAATAATAATGATGAAGCAGGCAGACCAGTGTGAGTCCTAAAAACAACCCAACTTCTGGATATTCTTTCTAATAGCTTTCAAAAGCTACCGCCCACTTGCGATGTTTCTTTGTTTAAAATGCAATAAAAGTTTTTGCATCACAGTAACTCCAGGTGACTTTTACCCTGACCAGTGGTTGATTTCAATGGAAGGAGAGGATTTGGGTGGCAGATGAAGTGATGTAGAGTTTAGTAAAGGTGTCACTTTTTAGGTCTTTGATGACAATGTGACATTTACCAGTCAGTTATTCCATGCGGCTGTTTGGAGCACTTGACATAAACAAATTTCATCCCCTTTTGAAACAGCTTGTCTTCAGGGGTGAACGACGAAGTCTTGGCTTAGCCATGCCCCTGTCTGCCTCACTTTTATGCCCAAGATGTCAGTTCTACCCCCAATATGCGTATCCATTGCCGAGAAAATGTGCTAATCGTCACCTGGCTGTATTACACCCGGAGAATAGGGTGAACATGGGGCAACACCTATTCTTCATCCCATCTTTAAGTGTGGCTTGACGTCTAGGTGTCTCATTACACAGAAATGGGGACTCTCTTCCAATTGGTCGCCCAATCATGCTTACTTTCAAAGAAGTCTATTTCTTTTGTATCGCATGGGTAGATCTCGATCGTAATTGCTTGGCCCACATCCAAGTGATTAATCATGTGTGTAACACACCCACAGAGAAAGGTAGCTGTACACTACTTACAGTGGGTGAGGATGAAAATTGAGTCGACTATTTGAAGGTAACTAATAATGTGTTTGTTTGCCCAATGAACTTTGGTGGAGAAAGGTTAAGGACTGCATAAAATCTTGGAAGGCAATGAGGGGAAGAGAGTGATAATCTTCTAAAATTACTGTCACCTAGTAGTATTTTTGGTTGGCGTACAACCGTTTTACAGCCTTGGCTACTACTCCTTCCCACTTGATGGGTGGATGATAAACCATGATTAAAATTTTTATCTTCACATTAACCCCTATTGGCTAAGCCCTGGTGCCACCTAACTCCCTCTTTTCCATTTGGACACGGCGATTCTTTTTTAAGCCTCCTTGAGTGATTCATCATCCACATCAAATTGGTTAGATTGTCTCATTTTGAGAGGTGCATTGCCTTGTTACTGCATCTCCCGCACATTCGAGACAACACAATTCGCGAGTAGCTTCTGCATTCTTCAAAACGAGCTCGACTCAGGTTGTAATGCAGACAAGCTCAAATTACATATGCCCAATTTAGTCGATAAGTTGACGAGGCAAAGTAGGAGAGAGAAGTAGCAAAGAGCACAGCAGAGAGTACTGTACCGATAATTGGCATGAATCCATTCGATTCAATGGATGCTTCAATGTAGGTCAGAGGCGGAGAGGTTTCTCGGTGTCCGGTGTGTGCAAGCCTTCGGATCTAAGGGGTAAGTGATTCGTTCGACTTTACTTCCACACTAGGTGAAGATTTACCTCCAGTTTAGCTCTACCGCGTGGCATGCACCAGTTACCAAGGGCCCGATGTTCACAACTTCGGATGATTGCCGCCCTGAGCCTCCACGGTTGAGGATTGTCACCCACTGATAGATGTACGCGGCCACGCCGAGAGGGGTTGAGACCACAACTACAATTAATTGGACGTTCTACCTTTAAAAGGCCATGAACATGTCCCATTATCATCTTGTGATGCGGTTGGAGTTACATGTCGATGAAGCAGATACTCGCGGGTCGGATTTTTACAGTTTTACACAGGAGATCCTTCCCTCGACTACTTTTTTACTTTCTCAAATCTTTCCCAGGCTGTTGAGATTCCTTTATCAGCGGTTCTCATTAGTATTGTTTCTCCTGCCAAATCTCTGAGTTCTTAACGTTAATGGAGGGGTAAAGCACCTCCATAAACTCCCTATCAGATGAAGAATAATTACAGAAACCATTAATTTTTTGCTACATCATCTGCCTCCTCGTCGGTCCATCCCTTCTCCTAGCCTCTTAACACACACCTCACCTCCCCCCTTCTAGCCCCTCTATCTCAAAGAGATCAAAGTGTTATGTCCTCCCATCTCTCTTAGAAGGTGGTTGGAGTGTCCAACAATTTATGCGTCTAAAACAGTGTAATGATAACACATCAGTGGCATAAAAATTCTTTAATTAAAACGAACGTTTTAAAAAAACCATAATCAAGAATTTTGTCCTCTCTTTTGTTGCCAGGAGTTCACGACCAGGGCATTCAGGCATGTGGCCTTACAAGCATCATCTGACCCTTATTTTGGGGCTAGGTGGATGGATCCTTCAGCCTCTTCAATGAAGCTAAGGTAACCGAAGGGAAAGGAGAGGAACGGCGGGCGGCCGGAGGCAGCCCATTGAGATTCACAAGAGGTGTGTACCCTCTTTATCAACGTTTAACCACTATGGTTCCCAAATACGTGGGTCAGTGACCAAGGCGACAAGTTTTCTGAGGGCGGCGCATAAGACACGAATTACCGTAGACATTCAGTCTGCCGCGCTCTATTCTCTCCATCATTGGATCAGAGCTCAGAAATAACTAGACGGTAGCGACAACACAGGAGGTATCTAAAATACACTCGTCACAGACCATCAGAAAACCTTGAGGACTATAAAGTCAGGAACTCCTCATGACGTAGGTCTCAAAACCCCATATATGGCTGTGGACGGGGAACTTCTCTGGGCCCAGGATACCGAAAAGATACGTGCTTCAAATGTCTATCTGATGACTCTAACGCCTCGGACACTTCGAGCCTCCCAAAAGCCATCCAGACCTTCTTCCACACAGGTATGTCTTCACGGCCGACCAAGGTGCTGCGGTCACCCTGCTGAAGAGAACTTTTGGGTGAGTCTTTAGGCCTTCAGCAATCAGTCATGAAATCTCCACACCGAATGTCGATGTAGCCTCTAGAGGATCGTCACTTAGATTTTACCTCACAATGATTACCCTATGGTGGTAGGGAGACGTTTCCAGAATTGTTATTCAGAACAGGAAGTGAAGTCTTCCCTTTTTGGGCAAAGGGAAAAGTCGTCTCCACTTTTACCCATGCAAAAATGCAAATGCACTTCGACCGGTTAAGTTAATCTCCTCCTCCTCCTCCTCCCCCCCTCCCTCCTCCTCCTCCTCCTCTCCCTCCGGAAAAGGTAGACTAAAACACAGTTCGCTTTTTCTACCGTTTGGGTGCGGCCAGTCAATTAGTTTTCTCTACCAAATTTAAACGAAGGTAGAAAAGGGGATAAACACTGACCTTGCTTTTTAATTTGATCAAACTATCAGTTATTTTACCCTGAAGTTAAGTCAAAAATTTTTTATTTAGCGTTTGAGAGGATGTGAATGGGGGAAAAATGCTTTACCCAACCCTAGACTCCACGTCTCGTACCCCACTTTTACATGCACGCACTCACTGTCACCTTCGTCGGTCGGGAGCCTTGATAAATGCGACTAACAGGCTCGACGCACTAATCGACCACCAGAAAACGCAGAGGAACACGCTTGCCTTTCACACCGTTGCTAAGGCAAACCGTCTCCTCCGTGGACAAAGTTTCGGTTTCGCCTGAAATCCCACCTGCTGCCCTCTATCCAAGCCTACTCCCTGTGCAGAGGAATAATCCATAAGTCGACTTTGGAATGACCCATCCAAAATCCTTTTCTTCAGGGTGACAGGCCACTTGTCGCCTTATACTCACCCTCCTCTAAGTCACCAATTGCATGGGCACTCACCTTCTTTACAGTCAGAATTTGTGGCTCGAAATCAAAACTCCACATTTCACCTCCCCTGCGACTTCCTCAATTTTCAGCTCGCTGAACGTCCGGAGTCTAAATTTTCACTGTCTTACACAAGCACTGCGATGACCACGAAGTAAGTAGGTTAAAATAAGGGAGAACACATTTTCAATCGTCCAATTTTCGGTGATTTTTGAAGGTAGGTTCAATTAATTTTATTGACGACACATGGTGGAGACCCCTTTGGGTCACGATCTGCTAATTGCCAGGTCATAAACGGATTAGCCTCAGGTGAAATGCCATAAACGAGGGATGTAAAAACTGGATGAGCCAGAGCACAGGCGAAGTCAATCCTTCTAGTGTGCTTCCGCAGACTAGTTCCACAGCTATTGCTGCTTTCCTTGTGCTCGTAACCGAGACTCTGTAGCGGGAGGTGGGAGACCAAGTAGATAGGGGGATGTATTTTCATGCTTAGAAGTGTTCACAAGGTCGGAGTCGGCACACGCTCTTACTAAGAACGCCGCCTGCCACCTTCACTAACGGCGTCAAGACCTGTTTCAACTACCGGGGTGTTGTGGTGGGACACACTCACCCGTTACCTATAATGTTCCGTCAATGGTGCAAAGGTAAAAGATCTAGACTCTGATGTACAGTGACATGCTTGATCGATGGCACACTCGTCTGACTGGCAAGAGTCCCTACTTGACGTTATTGTGGTATTTACTAATAATAATCATTTGTACTTGGTAAAAACAGAAAGTCAGTAAGAGGTTTTGCTTGGCGCGGTCACGACTCCTTATCAGTCTATCTGTCCGGGTCTACTTGTAGTCACGTTTCTTTGAAGGATGAAATGCACGAGAAGTAGGGAAAACAGTACAGGTCATGAAAAGGAAATATGCAAGGAGAGGTTTCTAAAGGTAATTTGGGTGATAATGATGCTGGTGATGACTATGATGACTGAGGTGTTTCAGGGGGTACGCATGTGTAGATAACAAAGGGGAGAGTTGGGGAGGAAGGCGAAGGGAACGGGGGAGGTAAGAAGGGATAAAGTGCTAAACATAAGGCATCGGGAGAGCTCAAGGCTGTTTTGAGTAGAAGGGCACCTCGGTCCCAAGTCGGATTCGTTCCTAGAAAATACAAAAGATTGAGGTTGAGATGAACTATGCAACCACTTGACGAGCCAGATTTGACGTGCTTTGGTTCACTGAGCTATACGTACCCATCCATCTGGCTCATCTGCCAACCCTCAATCTACTCCATCCAAAAGTAACTGATTCAGACGAGCGTCCACCTTAGCTCATCCCTAATCTGATCTACACACCAATTTCTGGCCCATGAACTCGTCTACCCATCTTCAACTCATCTTCCCACTCAAACTTGATGCGTTTACGATGACCTTATTTATTCCTGGTCCATCCACATTTTATTCATCTACTTATGGCCCAGCTACCTATCCCTTTTATTTATCCATCCCTCCATCCATTTTCTTGTATCTACGACTGATTGATCAATTCACCTCTTTTTCATCCGTCAAACCAACTAAAAGACCTTTACTCATTAAGAATTAGTGAAGAATTTAAGAATCAAAACTTACCTGTTGTCGAGCCAGATCCGAAAGGTTCGGATTCATCCGTGCTGCGTGGCTCAACTGAGCCAAATGTACCAAATCGCAGGAGGCATCAGGCAATGAGCTGGCGTCTGACTCCGCCATGTCCAACCACTGGTGTGCTGTGGCTGCAACAGTCGCTGACACGTGGTTGCTGAGGCCACCAACTTGGGAGGAGTTATCAGACGACAGCCAATCCACAGTGTGACCGAGGGTGGGGGACTTCTTGACTGAAGTCGAGAGGGAGAAATCGCTATCCGAACCGTTGTAGTTCTGTAATGGAAAGGGAGACGGTAGGCTGCTGGTTGGAAAGCCACCAATTATACGTCAATTACTGACAATAACATGACTCAGAAAAAGAGAAACCTGATTGGGTGATTGGCCATGAGGGCTAATCAATAATTGACTACACACTCACCATTCAGATTATAACAAAGGATTTCTGGTTGAAATACCGCCTACTCTTGGTTAGTATTCCGTTATTGTAAAACAAAGGAAATAAATATGGAAATTGAACACCAGAATTATCTCTGTTAGATAATTGTTCTGTAATTTTAAGACTTTTAACCATTTAAATGTGAGGCAAATATAAAAGTTAACGAATCATAAATATGTTGGTCCCAAGCCATTTTTCCCCCAAAAAATAGTGAAAATGCATCAAAATTTAGCACAGAAGTGTTTTGAAGCCATGAAAAAGCAGTAACCTATCCTGATCCCCGAAAAAGCAGAATTTCTTAGAGCTTTAACAAATGCCCTCCTTTATAACGACTTTCACTTTGAACTGGCGTGATAGCGACACACTTATGGTCAATGAAGACGAAGTCAAGGTGGATTTAAATCTAAGTTGCAATAATTCAATAAAAAAAATCAGTAGAAAAGAGATGCTAACAAATAAATTTGCTTATAAGGCATTTAGGAATCCGGCCTCTCAAATGGGTTACGCTAGGCACTCTGCCATTCCAGTTGTAATAAAACGGGCACAATAAAGTAGATTTTGGGATACTACTGGTCTAACGACGACTACACACCCAATATTTTTGAGAATCGATTAAGGCAGTCACTTATTTGATGCAAGTGTTGATGGCAACGGCCATAATTCCCACTCAAATTTGGCAGTAAAGTTTGCGCTAAGCGTACAGTAGAAGTCGATCCTACTCTCACCCGCTTCTGGTTATATCAAATGCCTTAATTTTGGCAACCTCAAAAAATGCATTTACTTTACATCTTAAGACACATACCGGGTATTTGTCGTTTCACGCGATTTCCCACCACGATAACAAAGCGACAAAGCAATATTTGCAAGTGAAATAAAAAAGTTCGTTACATAATAAGGCAAACAATCGAATTCCGACCCCAGCTTACATGTCTGGAAATGTAGGGCACTGCAGGGGAAGTCTTTCGCGTCAATCCGTCCGAATCCCTCGTCATGTAGCAGTCACTGGGTGCATTCAAGGAGGACGTAAGGGTCAATCCTCCCTGAGTCCCCCTGCTGCTAATCAATCCATCGTCTTCCTCAGCATGCCCGGGATACTTGCGATGAGAGACGAGACCCGGCTTACCGGCGACAAAGGAGTCTGTATCGTCCATTGGTGGTTGGTAGTATGGATCAATTTCTGGTTGGGGTGGAGAAAGAGCCAATTAAGTTTTTGAATAGCATTTATTGACTCAACTTTGAAGCAAAAATAAGCATTCAAGGGTTTTTCCTTCAGTGATTTACGGTTCTGACCAAATCATAAACGCAGGTTATATTCCAACTTATGCTATAGCTTTTGTCGACCACCAAATAGCTCTAAAGGTCGTTAGTTAAAAGTGGCTAGAGATAAAAACATAAACAGTAGTGGACAACAAAATGAGCTGATAGCAGTTGCAATATAGAAGGATGACAGAGAATTTCACTCATTTTAAATAATGCACGTTGAATTAGAAGTAATAAAGCTTGTAGAGTCAAGGCATTCACCATCTCCTTGATTAGTCAACACCAGCAGTCAATGATGCAACAAATTAACAAATGACCAAATGATGAAAGTCACAAAATCATTCACACTTTTACGCTCCGTAGAACAAAATTAATGAACCATATTGCATTTAATTGACAGTCCTGCAAGCAGTCATTAAAAAAATTAATTAACCGCTGAAATTGTGACATTAAAGTACAATTCAAAAACACCCTTTTCTAGGGAAAATAAAAGAGCATGGAATAAAACATGTTTCCACTGGTACACCCGATTCAACTCACGTATGAAGACCATCTGAATAAGACCGAAAAGCCATACTACACTCCAAAGTTGAACATGGGAATGGAAAAGTGTAGATACTAACACGAATGATAACTTGGGTACTTTTCCTCTAACACAAAATTAGCGTTGCAACTATTTTGGGAGGCAACATATCGTTATCAGGCCCAAGAAATGTCATTCCCTTTATTTGATTCATTTTTTTTCTCTGAAAACTCGGCATAATTTGCGTAAGAATTTCCTAAAAGTTACGCATTCACTACGAAGAACAATGGTACTTAAGCTTTGTAAGTAGGTGTTAATTTATATTACCATATTTACAGAGTTGCTAACTTGAATGCAAAATGCTACTTAAATTGCATTCAAGCAGACGAACAAATTATCTAACCGGACTGGGAGGAGAGTTGAGTGGTGCAGTAATAGGGTGTGGAAGTGACGATGGCAGGGGGCAGTGGTGGTGGTGAAGGCAGTTTGTACTGCCTTGAGAGAAGACCTCCTGCGGAAGGCGGTGTTGGCGGAACTGCCGAGGAATTCCACGAGGAGATGGCAGCATTTTTTCGACACTCCTCGCAGTCGGAACCGCCCGTGCATTCCACCTCCTCCCATTCCGAATCCTCCTCGTCAATTACGTCGGACGAGAGTTGTTGTTGCTGCTGGAGGTTGCTGCTATTAGAATTTTGAAGATCTTTTAGTGGACTGGGAGATCGCAGATCTGAAAGACGTGTAGAATGGAAGATTACTGATAGATTTAGCGTTCAATATAAGCGCCCTAAAGATCAACAACGATTTTGGAAATGAATTTATTGTGAAAAACTCGAATATCAAATGAACGACTCCGTCGGTTGAGAGCCGGTGCGCTTTTAAAAAACCAATATGGAGGCCTCAAATTCCGATTGGCCAACATTTTAAAGGTTACAGACCATATATACGAGAGAAAGGCCAATTTCTTCAAGTTAAACTATCTTAAAAGCCTCAAAGCTTAACAAGGCGAGACGTTTGAAGAGTTAAAATCATCCAAACATAATGAAATCCGAATTAATTTGGTCGCAGCTGCTGTGGGACCCTCAAGCCTAAATCAAACAACTTCAAGGATTTTAAAACCTCTGGCTAGAATAGAATCAGATGCTCCTAAAACTTACCTTTCTGTGGAGTCGGAAATATCGCCCCCATCGCTCTTGCCAAACTAATCTCATCCGTCTGTTGTTCCGCATTGCAGAGGATCGTAGGAACCTTGTGATTCTGTCCACCAATACTGCTTTCAGCATCCTCCGAGGAGAGACGATACCTTCGACTAACGCCAGTTCGACGTCGACGGTGGCAACGACGACGACACGGCGAGGAAGTGGAAGAAGTTGAGGCTGTTGTTGTGGTCGGGGGAGTGCTAGTGTTAGTTGCTGAGGTGTCTCCTCCAGTACTACTGCTGCGTTGGCTTCTGCGATGATGACTATGGCTGTGGCGATGGTGATGACTGTGAGCGTGGCTGTGCTGACGGTGACTCGACTTCTTCTTGCATTGACTTTTGTGCTGACGATGGTTCTAGAAAAAAAGGAGGACTTTAATCAATACTGGCAACTCCAGTCACCACAGGTGAATGAATTTGTCGTTAGTACCTATGAACACCTACCCACCCATCCAATCATCTATCAATTTCTATTCATATATCCACCAATTCTGAGATAATCTATTCACCGCTAACCCTTCCCTCAATCCATCTCAAATTCTTTTATCATTGGCTAATATGTCTAAAGCCATCATAACCGAATCTTCCTCAAATAAATTGCATGTCTAGACATCTCTGGAAATTCTCACCTTATGCCGGCACTCCCTTCCACCCATCTTTCGCTCCTCTTCCCCAGTCTCCAAAGCGGTTGAACAAGTGCTACCAGAGTCCGATACCATGTCCATCACTCCTCCCTCCTCTTCCTCCCCACTATTCATCACCGACGCCACAAAGTTCGTCGAATTCGTGTCGTCAGTCGCCCTACTGGTTGAACAAGAGCTCACAGATGAAAGTGAGGATGAGGATGAGCCAGTGGATGATGCGGAAGGACTTTGGGAGCCCGTAGTGGAAGTAGAAGAGGAAGAAGTGGAGGAGGTAGTCCCAGAGAAGTGAGGTGAAGAACAATAATGCTTCTTGCTAGAGCGTTTTAAAGAATGCTTCTGCTTCTTACTACCACCTTCTCCGTTGGTAGAAGTTGGGAGATCGGGCATATCCACGCCGCCACCACCTTCGTGCTTATTCTTGAGGATGCCTTTTTCAGGTTGGCGGCAGGAGTTCTCCCGAATCACGGTCACTTGGGGTGTCTGTGAATTTGCAGAAATTAAAAGACCTTAATAGTGTGGTCAAATTTAGCGTCATTGATGGGACCATACTTAAAGCAAAGCCTCAGTACTCACCTCCGTCTCATCCGCCGAGATCGTCGACGTTGTCATTACCTTCCTCGAGGGCTGTGCACTCATCACTCTTACCTCCATGCCCCCAACATCAGTACAAATCACATTCGCACAGGTTGTCGTCGTCGTATTGATGTTAGTAGACGTCAACAGAGGTGTCTGTGGTGTAGACATCCAAGGGGATGAACTTCCCGTAAATATTGGATTCGGTGACGCAACTACGCTGCACACTGCAGGTACAACAAAAGGTGGTGGTGGTGGCGGAGGTAGCGACCACGATGCCGAAAAGTCTATTAACGCCGGTTGCTGCTGTTGAAACAGATTATTTGTGGTACTAGCGGTGGTCACTACCGCATCAGTTATCGTCGAAATCCCAGCAGTATCTGATATCGTCGTTGAAGTGGCATTATCTTTTGCATGCTTCATCTTATCCTCCCGATAGGAAGGCATCGAGCCAAACTTGATTTTTCCAACTCCATTACCACCCTCGTCCTTCACGCTCTCCTCCCCGTTTCGACCCAGCTCTGGGCCGGATTCAACAGTTCCATTGGCTCCAGTTTGAAGACTGTCTCCACTACTAACTCCACCACCTCGTTTCTGTCGACGGTTTCGATTCTTAGAAGACGAGGAAGAAAAGGTATGTCGATGTCGACGGGAACAAGAGGAGCGACGCGTGTGATGGTGCAATTCCATGTCGTCTAGAGAAGCGCCACTAGGACGAGAGTTTCGGTTGCAAAGGCACATAGAATCCATACTATTGGCAGCAGTGGTAGTGGCCGTGGCCGTACCAGAAGACTTGCTTAATGGCGAATCGAAGAGAGCAGGTGAGAGACAATTGGTTGGAGAAGAGAGACGTCTTTCACTCTTAGCACCAAAGCGAAGGCCCCGGCTATTGAAATTTCGACGTCTGAAGGACAAGGTATCGAAGTGAGATGAATTTATTACCGGAAAAGTGGGGTCTACTTCAATGGATACGGTAGATATCATTCAATAATAATGCTATCTTGCATTAAATAGCTAAATAAACCTGGCTACTCAAGACCAAACTTGCTTCAAATATCTTATTCCTGGTGGTTTTGAGCACTGCAACTAGTCTTCCAGTTTTCCTGGCCTTCAAAATTATTTTGAATGACCTCTACCTCGATGACAAAATCCTGAGTTATATATGACGTTGGTAGCAGGTGTTAAGCAGTACGTAAGAGTGAAGTCCTTCAGAACAGTCTTTTGCTTAGAAAATATTCTCTTGAAAATGCTAAAAATTTGCCCTATGGTCATTCAAATCAGCCACCAGACCACCGTGTGATGGTAGAGACAGAAGAGTGACAACGAGGAGCGCCGGTAACGGCACATATTAGTCTTTCAGTCATTTCATACATTTTAGACTCGAATTGTTCACGTCTTGAGAGGAAACTTTAGCTCCATATAACCACTAACGACAGGATTATCAGAATGACAACATACTACTGAAGTAAAGCGGTTACACACCTATACAAGAAGATGATACCACAAAGGCAGAGGAAGACGCAGGCTATTACAGCACCCAAAATTGAAATCAGGTAGACAGTGTTCACTGACCCAGGTTCCGCCAATCCCCCTGAAACAAGTAGGAAAAAAAACTATTAAAAGAAAACAAAAAACTGCACAAAAAAGTAACAAGTACTTCCACTTTTCGCACCGGCATTCTTATCCATCGCTTGGATATACATCCAAATCAAACTGGCAATGTCTTCATCAGGGTAGACGGAGACGTAGGCTACTTTAACGCGTGCTTTCGTCACAGAAGCATTTGGATTGATGGATGGTTGGTGTTGGGAACAGGAGGGGCCATGCCATCCAGGTGGACAGAGACAAAAGGCCCCATTGGTGCAAATCTGTAAGGGAAAAGAGGTGAAGATGTGACATTTTGATCAGGTATAAAAGTAAGTAATGATAAAAAACTCCAACAGAAATTGCTGAGTTACCCCGCGTCCTGAACAGGTGATATTAATGGGCGTGGCGGTGGCAGTAGGTAGGCTTCGTCTCACCGCAGGGTGGATGTAATCGTTACTCCCATCTGACACGCCCCAGAGGTCTGAGAAGGGCCCTTTGGGACACTTTGAGTGCACTACGATAGCAGTGGGCTTTATGCATCGTTTTTGAAAGCAAAAACGGCCTTCATTGCAGGAGGCACCTTCGGGAACGTAGCTGAATTTGTGTGTACTTGCTACATACCTGAAATGAGGTGATAAAAATCTCGTAAATACCGTCTTTGTGTTATACAAGTGGTAATTCCCTCTGAATCGAACACGTTTTCTATTCGAAGTTGAACCAAAATCTAAAAAGCAACTAATCCAAAGTCGGCCGGCCCATCCGACCAACACCAAATTGTTTAATAGGCTAAAGACAAGCACTTACTGGCATTGAATTTTCTGTTGTTCGTGCTGTGTCCGAAGATTGAAGAAGCTAAGCAAACGAGCCTCCACTGGAAGAGGTTCATCACTTCCATTTTGACAATGCAGCAGTCCGCACATCGCATCCCTAAATGGAACAACAAAATGACGTTTCCCGCCTATTAAATCGACCCAACAGGATCGGACAATCTAACTCACTCTTCCTCACACACTACACCTTTCCCACAAGCGGAGTCGATATTCCTGTTCATTGTGCTGTAGCAATAATCATCTGCGGTCCGTGCATTTGGTCCCCAAAGAGCTTTGCAATGACTGCTCCTTGTTGGGCATCGACCTTCATAGCAAAGAGCTTCTTCCTCAAAGTCATTTTTTTCACCCTTACATGGCATCCCATTCTCCAGGTAGAGATCACCTGGACACTCGGCCTAAAATGATTTTAAAAAGTAAGGCTTACTTTAAACTTTATCAGTAGGCAGTCTATTAAGGTAAGCGTGTCAACCCGCCTCCGAACCGGAGCAAAATTCCGGTAGATCGCATTGATCCCTGGCAGGGCGACAGAGACGTCCCCTGGCAACCAGCCGACAGCCACGACAACAGCCACCTTCCACACAGACGGCATGAACGTCAGCGAGGCAGGTCTTGGAATCGCAACAGCCGAAAGCGGGTGAATTAAGACTTTTATTGAAGCCGCTGTCGGTGCTGTGGGGTAGACCGATGGGGAGACCTTGCTGATAGGGCTCGCATTCCTCCCCACGATCGATAATTCCGTTGCCGCAGGTATCGGGGCGGAGAAATTCTCGTCCCTAAAAAAAGGAAAACAGTATTTTAAGGGAGTATTATACTAATTTCCTAAGAACTATCATAAAGAACGCCCAATGCGAAGGGATTACTAGCTTTGAAAGCAGATAGATAGGTGGATGACGTAGTGCAAAGTGACCTAGTCCTTTTTTCTCAGCATTTTGAAGTATCAGGCAATCAAAGACAGCATTTGCTGATGTAGCTCACTGCGATGACTTCTCACAACTTATGAGCCAGTCTATCGATGCGGTACTCTATATTCCTGTTGTTTTGATCCCTAGTCAAATTTTGGGTGAATCTGTCTGATCCTACCGTATCGGTGTTATGCACAGGGGTTAGCCCGGTTGCCCCTCATCGTTTAAAAGAGGTGCGGCAGTAGAACGATGCAGTGCTCAGAAATGGTTTAAACAATCGGCTCCTCGTGACGAACCAGTCAGAGGTAGATGCACCACGTTAGAGGGAATATCTTCCTTAACGCGCCACTATTGTTCTAGACAATTCAGGATTGAAGTACCAGGAACTTGGGTGAAGAAGCAGTCGGTGGAAGACCACGATCAAATTTGGCCAGTTTAACCTCTGTTAACAATTTTTGATGAAAAACAGGAGGAGATGCCGTTGTATCAGCACAAGTTGATCGTTTTTAACGGACCCTTTTGGTGACCCCCAAGGGGAAGTAACTAGTTGAAGACTGGAATCATTTGCGATCTGCCCGATCTCCACAAAAGGCATGGGAAACGCTGTTAAAAAGTTTTGAAGAGAAAACCCTCACACCTAAACTAAGTAGATTAAACTGTTCAAAGGTTGGTAAAAAACGTTGACAGAAAACTGCTACAATTCCGAGCAATTCGACCCCTAAGACAAGGGCACATTTTGATACTTACTCAAAAAACGCCTTGAATTCGTGTAGTTTATCGGAAACCAAAGGAAATGATCGGCCTAATTAAGCCTCAGCTACAATCTTAATATCTGACATTTGATTGACACTTTTTCTCAATCTTCCACAAATTGGTACGCGTACCACTGACATAAATTTGCCAGCGAAATATTTACCTAGTCTAGAGGTTGTAGCGTTGCTACGACGCGATTGTCTGCAGCCTAGGTGTACTAAATTTCCTCCCGTGAAAACGACTGATCGATGAATAGCACAACTTTTCGCCATTTTAACCCCTCAAAAAACCACTTTCTGTTTTTTTGTTCCAGAGAAAATGCGCAGATAAAACTATTTCTACACATGGTTTATTTACGGACGGGGAGCAACTGATTGAAAGCTGAGCACAATCATAATGGGATGTCTCAATGGAATTAATGGGATGCGAATAAATCTCCCAACTGACGTAAATTTTGGCCCTTATATTGGGACTAAAATTGAGAGAGACACGATACTACTGCTAGTTCCACTTATGCCCAGAATTTTGTCTCAGGAAACGAATATAGAAAACGTAGTTACGGTCATCTTTTCTACCTCAGTTCCCTTTTCAGCCTGCCTATTACACATGTGATTATTAACCCTTCCAAAAAGTTGCTAATCACGGTGGCTGAGGCTGAGGCAGTACCTCCCCTTCCCCTCCATCCTAAGGTGCGGTATGAGGTCATACGTTCATTGCAAGAGCAGTGCATTCTTCCGACTGGTAGTTCCTAGAAAAGACGTTTTTCTTGTACATCCTCCGAGTGTATCGTGGCAAGCGAATCCCGACCACGGCTGCAGGAAACCAACTCCTAGCCATGTATTCCATCTCCAGCCCACCACACCCACACACAGTATATTGTCTTCCGTAAAATAAGGTGGTGTGTGATTTAGAAACGTAAGTTGGGTAGTGGGCAGATCGTTTGTAGATAACTAACAATTTATTGGTTCGGTTAGTGAGGACTTTGGGCCACTTAACCCACTTCTCATCACAAATCAGAAAAGTCCAAATTATAGGGCGCATTTATGCCACATACGTAAAAGAAGCGAGGAGAAAATGAATAGGCACTGAAGCCCATGGCCTGTTATCTCCCAATCCCTGGGGATGAGACCCATTTTCCAGCTTCAACGTCTTTCTCCTCCCTGTTGGTGGACTTATCAACCCATTGTTTCATCATTATTCACGCTAACCATGCCTGAAAGCTCTGCCAGCATACCCTCTTCAAATGCTAAAATCCATGGATGCAGGCGCTGTAGCACGTACTACTGACTTCCAACAACTTACCTGAAGATTTGGTGACCTGAGACAGGCCGACATCCCACTGAGAAGAGCCAATTGCAAGCGCGAGATGTCGCCTAATGAAAAGACCTCGTTCTCATTGCAGCTAAAGAGAAAGGTGATTGGTTAACGCAATGTCAGCACAAGAAGTCTATTGGCTAATTATGAGATCAAAAAACTTGCCTGTACATCTCTGGACAGAGGATTGAGTGGATACCAAGGATTTCAGCGATAGATTTTGAAACTAGAGTAGCCACTTGAAGCTCAAAGTCGGTCACATTGACCTGTTAACGAGAAAGCTGCCATAAAAATGTATTTAATGGGCCATAAAGCGCTGGGAACATTGTGTATGCAAACATTTTGACCAATCAATTTGACAAACAGATTAGAACGGAAAAATAAAAAAAACTATCGAAATGAACCACATACACGATTGTTTAGATTAAATGGAACATTTTGATATAAAGAGGCGAAATAAAAACAATTTATGCCCCAATGTCAGACAAAAACAAAACTATTATCCAGTAGGGTGGATTTCATAAACAAAAGTAGGAACTGGTACTTGTTTAAGAAAAAAGAAACTATATGTGATATCTTGGTAGGGATCTTCAGTTATTACAGGTTGTACTTCCGCCCGGAGGCATGGCCGAAGCCACGTCTATAGTCTCTCGATTAATCTGTACGTTAATGATAGGCGCTTGAATCCAGAGAGACTCGGGGCACCTGATCCAGTTAAAAGAAAATCCTAATTTGGGTTAATGTTTAACAAATTTAGGCGTTACAGAGGAAATATACCTGCTGTGAATGACCAGCTCACTACAGAATTTCGAGTTTCAAGTGTTACACAATAAATGCTGATGGAAATGGATTAGGCTTTATCAAATTGCAAACAACCTCAAAGAAAGGTACACTGTGTTCTCTGGCGAAACGACCCATTTCGTAGTCTGAGGACAAAATATTCAGAATATACTCGTTGAAGAAGATAGTCAAGCCTCTAGTGCTATCTACCAAAAGAATTCTTCCCCGGCACAGTTCGTTTCCCAGAAAAGGTAGTGTTTAAGAATCTTGATCTGACCTAAAGCATGTACTGCCACTGCTGCATGAAGACCACCCCTCGATGTACATCCATCGTGCCATTTCCGATTCCATTTCCCGGTTGAGACTTAGAAGGAAGGATCCGTGATTGTTTATTTTACTTAGGGGTCTATCCGATCACCTAGACTCTTTATTCTCCATGAGCCGTGCTTCCGTTTGGGCAGCAGCGCCCTTCTGTACGTTAGCAATGGGCCAATTAAAAGTTAAGGGAGAACTAGGGGCGTCACAAGCACTATACATAATCTGACCCAACACAGAGCCCAAAAACTCAAAAGCACGCAAAAATCGACGTAAAATACAGATTTCACTTGATTTTAGTCGTTCTTCCCCAAAAAGGGCTAAATCCAGGGTAAATGTCCTGCTCATTAAAGAATCAAACAGAGCGTGGAACATTGATTACCATAAAACTCCTTTTCAAAACAAAAAAAGGGAAGCAACAAAACAGAATTAGCTTTAAGTTGGTATGAAGAGGAATCTCCTACTAAATTATTAGGTGGTAAAAGGCAAAAATATGGTATAGCAGTTGCGTACTGCGCGCTAAGGCTTACAGTAAAAACAAATTGAGTAGGACTGCATGTTTGCAAGACAGACAAAAAAGTGATTTTTACATCCCACAAAAGACAATCTATGTAAGCTAGAAGAACCAGACAAACTTTCCTGCATTTAAGGGCATCAAAAGCAAAATGAAATTGTACGGACCAAGTTACCGGTTCATTAATGATAAACCTTCCACAATGCTTGACCAGACGTTGAATATTTGTGAGCAGAATCTGGACAGAATTGCTTACTGTCCAAAAACAGTAATCAAGTATCTACGTTGGAAAAATTTAAGACCTAAAAAAGAAATCGGTAATGTTGTCGTAGCCAAAGTAAGCAGACTCGACCGCAAAGCAATAAAATGTCACAGTCTTCCACCCCACATCCACTCACAGGGGAGAAGTTGACATGCAGAGTACCAAACAACTGGTCCTTGTCAAAGAAAATACACCAACATTACACATTTCCGTTCCGATTTTGAACATGATGGCGGCGACAGGACACGTCCCCTCTAAGCCACCTATCAAGGTGTGGTAGCGGAGAGTGCCCTTGAGAAACCAACTCCTTCAACTATTGTGGCTCCCTTTTTGTACATTCCTCCTTACTTCTGTTGGGTTCTCCTGTGGACTTATGCAAGATAAAGTTAGATGGAAATGGATGATGAAAACAAGTTTGTCCGTGTCTGTTTGTAACTTTTGAAAAAAATTTATTGGTGTTCTAGTGTGCATTTGCCCGCCGGTTAAATGAGACAGTTCTATAGTCGTGGATGCCTTATTTTCCTTAGAGGAGGTGAAGACAGGAGAGGGCTTTGCGATTGGTCCTATCCGGGAGCATAATGTTGGCTGTTTTTGAGGGGTAGTCCAAATGCCCAAAAGAATTGCTACCGTTAGGGATAGTAAAGGTTACACCGAAGGCATAGCGGAGAAAGGCGTGTGAGTGTCACGAGCACAAATCCATCTCAGTATCCAGCCCTCAACAGGTAAACTGTCTGTAAAAATGGTGTGATGGATGCGGGGCGCACCAGGCGTCAAATCAGCTGCAAACACGACCAGGAGGAACCTTGGCAACTAAATTATGGCAAAACTATAAGTCACCGAGTGGCTGGATGCGGATCCGCCTGTACCCTGACGTATGGCAGTTAAGTGCGGGTATGTACCAGGTGGGTGCCTAAGCCACTTCCGGGAGGGAAGCGAATTCCCAAATGTCAAAGTGGCTTCCATTTCACAGCTTTAACAGGTATTTAAATATGCATCGTCAACTTGATTATTCACTCAAAATTTTTTTTTCTCTTTTAGAGAAGAAGGAAATCTTTACAAGTGTCTATACCCCCTCAGTTGTTGTAATATAAACAAATACTATCTAGTTGATTAACCACAAGGTCAAAATGTACCTACAAGTGTTTCACCGACAATAGAAATCGAAGTGCTTTCATATCTCTTTGATAAATATAACGAATATATTCATCTTGGTACCCCAGAAGTTAATTTAGCCAGGTACTCTCTTGACAAGCTTTCAGACTGGAGGTTAGTGAAAAGAGGCAGAGGATTGGCGGGATAATGCTGCCTCTCTTCCATTTGGCAGTATCCTTACGATGCATTCGACGAACCACACGAAAACGGAACTGCACACACGAAAGCCTCAGAAAATCAACAACAACAACAGCAACAACAACAACCCCAATCGAAGTCAAAACTCCCAAAATCCCCCCTTTCCTCCTCCTTCAAAAGGTGTCAAAATCACTCAACCAAAGTATGTTTCAGCTGAGAAAACCAACAAAAATTAAGCCTGACTTTCGCCCAGACTAAAAATTTCTGAAGGGGAGGCTAATTCACCGAAATTTTGCCAGATGCACACAAGCCAATACATAGGAAATACGACGCCTTTATGGCAGGAGGACGAGGAGGAAGGGCGAGGGGAGGGGGAGAAAGAGGTAACCATGGTGGGAGAATGATTCATCCAACAACAAGGAGGCGGAGGGAGGAGAAGGGATTATTCACACTGCCAACATCAAATTCTGTCCTATGTGTGTATCAGCGTGCATTCACCTCATTCCCCTCATCCTCCTCTCGTTCTGGACACAAATGTAAATTCGTTAGAGTTAAGGTCAGTTTCGAAAGATTAACCGTTTTAGTCCATAATTTCCAGCCTCGCAAAGGATACAGTAACTTTTCTTGATGATTCCGGTGGTTATAGCAGAGGGAATGCATTTACTTCGGTTGGTCGAGATTGAAAGAACTCAGAGCAGCAAGATCAAGGCAACGGCTCAAAGGAAATAACAAAGCGACGGCAAGATGGAAGCGGGGACTCATAACAAAAGGAATCTACTGAAGCCGCACTGATTTTAGCAACTACACTGCATCACGATCAGTAATGAAGTAGGAATGGGTTCGAATTCGGCGAACTATGCGTACTTGGCATCGGCCGTCCATGGTATGAGGACTTGGAAGCAAACCGGATGGGCAACTGGGAGGAAATAAGGTAACAACAGCAAAAATGAGCAATAGGAATAAAGCGTAGCTTCGAGAGTGGCTATTTAATTGCTCTTTGCTTATGAGAAAATTTTCAGAGCAAATGTACAAGCTTTGAAGCGTGTATAGCGATCGGAGACATCTCTCGACACGAAAATCGTGTACCCTTCTATTGTATCCCACCGGTGCGGCACCCTTGAGGAGCCTCGACTATGACAGATAGGAGAAAATCTGGAGGAGAAAGTGATACACCCTGCCCAACCCTCTGCATTTTCCACCGAAGTTTCATCTTCTGGCAGCGAGACCCACCAAGATGGTTGCACGCGAAAATCTGCTCGATGGACGTTTATCGAATCGTATCTGCTTCAGCATCACTCAATAACTCGTGAAGGACAAAACAAAAGAGGAACCACAGGGAGCGCTCGGAACCACGCCCAAAACAGATTGAATGCGTTTAAGAAGGAGGAGGGAGGAGGACAAGGGAACATACCGAAATTGGTCGAGTAAATGAGCAAATAAAAGTTTTTTGATACAATCAAAAACCGTACGAAAAAAGGACAGAAGACGGACTTCATTTTTTACTCTAATATGGGTGACAGGAAAATAGATGAACGCCCCATTTGCTCCAAAGCGAAGAAGTACTTTTTACTATGAAGGGAGAGAGATAAGATGTCATAGAGTAGGCAATTTTTTGTTTTGTCTAGAAAAGCGAAAAATTAAACATTTTGACCAACTGTGCTTTGTTCCACTCGAATGGGCACTGGAGGCTTTGTGAAAGAATGGCAATTTGTATTCTTTCTACTCTCGTTGCTGAACAGAGGTAGTTGGAACAATAACTGTCAAAGCGATACCATCTAAACACTACAATTCGCAGGGCCTCGAAAAAGTGGAACTTCTTTGGGCAGAAGACGTTTGTAAAAAGTAAACAAAACACCAGCTTAACAGCGAAAATAAAGCAGACTATTCCAAGGCCTCCAGTAAGTGATCACAGAAAGACGAATCGACCAATGGAGTGGATGAAATACTTCCAGAGGGACTCACCCTAACTATAGCTGTTCCACGTGGTGTACAGATGGATCCAGGAATGGCTAAGTGATCCACCTTCTCAACAAAGTCAATTTCAGCTGAATCCGTCAACAACATCGTGATATCCGCTTTCCTCGAACCGGGCTGTTTGAAGACACCTTGTGGAGAGGATGAGAGTGGATCATTAGTCTCGCCCTCGTCCAAGTCGCGTCTAGATCTGCGTTGGCCTATATTGTCACTAAAACTCTGCTCGGATCGGTAGCGTTGAAAGTTGTTCAGTGTGGCTTTGATGCTGCTTTCAATAGAGGCACGGTTGCCTAGATTCCATATCTGGGTTCGTAGAAGATGGAATTGAACGGGTAGATCTCTGAAGTGCTGTATCCAGAAAAAAGCGAAGAAATTGAATAGGCCGATGAATGGATCCAAGGTGAGTACGAGAGATGGAGAGAAACTTACCAAATTGACGAGATTCACCATTGATGCTACGTAACGTAGAGTTGTTGTAAATTTTCCACTGAATTGGTGCAGCTGGAAGAGTGTAGAAGGGATCAGTTAATCGCCGATATCCTTAGGTAAAATTTAAGCAGTCGGCTCTTTTATCATGTTCAATTTATTTCAGCTGGTCTGATCATGTGCACTTTAGGATGGACGTCTCCACGGTTTCCTTCCTACTGATGATATTCACAGCCTCAGAATAACATCTTTGCTTTGATGTTTCACAAAGTTCCACCAGTCCCCGTCTTCAGGCTTATTACCGAACATTCTAGAACTTCATACAGTTGCCGATCCCGTTGAGTTTGCCCTGATCGGTCATTATTGTGTGGAGACAGTTGGTAGGTACTGGGATTCACTTTAAGATCAAGGCCATTCAGGAGGGTGGCGATCACTCATGTGGCCCGGTGCTCCAATACAGTTGTAGCGCACTTCGAGTGTACTCAGCCTATCAGTAGTAGAGACCTCCAACCTGACGCTCGTGCCATCTTCACTTTTCTGGCTGCAAAAGTGACTGGCCCGCCCACACCTATATAGAGCAGTTCGTATCACCTCCATCTCACTCATATTACACACTACTGACTGGGACTCAGGTCAGATCTGATCCGTGTCCAATACGTGATCAGGATCAAGCTAAAATTAGCTGCCATAAGAGAACTTTACATTTTTAAATGGACTTACCAACTTCTCGTCCACAATAAACTCCAACCAAATAGTGTGCACAGCGCTTGAAAGATCCGCTAGACGCTGATCCACTGTCTCTTGCATCATTGCCATTAAGTCGACCGGTTTCCAGAAGGTACGCATTGAAGCATCTAAGAAGAACAAGATAAAGAGGCTTACAAGTTGCCTTATCATCGAAAAGATATGGAAAGAGGAGGGGGCGATGGCGAAGGCGTAAGCTCACTCTGAGCAATTGGAGATGAAGACCAGGAGAGAACAATATGGGGTGCTGTCTGTGGATCACAGGACGGGCAGGGGAGAGGAAGAATCACGAAGGTAGTGTTGTGATAGTATATCGCACCTCTAAAGTCAAACAGAGTTGAATAGAGAAGACTTGCCTATCTACTATGCAATAATGCTGCTGAAGACATGGACAATATGGGACAGGATGGAAGGTTGGACGAAAATAATTCCATTCTTGGCACAAACCTTAGGCCTGAACAGGTATCAACTGCGACAAATGATGCATTAGGTGCAGATTCCACCTCTCCTGTGTAGAAACAGTCCTCCGATTTCTGAAAAAAAAAACAAGAGAGGAATACACTTTATCCAATGTTTAGCTCCTCTCACTTTTCAAGTGCAGTTTGTTTAATAGAAGAACCCCCTCAAAATCACCACGAAAAGCACCGCTACTACCACCAAATGATCGCAGAAGTCTTCCTGCTGTGAAGTGCCTTCATCAACACATTGCATCGCCCACCTTGACCTCGCTTGACCAGTGGCTCTGTGGTTGCGATATATCTACCGAAGACGAAGAGGAGTACATCCAGCCTACTGCGTTGCAACCTTCACACTAATTGTGCATTTTCCATCCCTCTAGCCCGATTTATTCACATATCCTCCGAACCGCCAGGCCAGTAAATCTGCATTCCACAATTTATGCGACTCTTCGGTCGACATTTCCCCTCCGTCAATTAACACGCTCCAGCACCGAAACAGGAAACAAACAAATGTCAAAGGTGGAGGCAGAGGCGGGATGCAGGAACAGCATAAAAAAATACGCCACTTTATTTGGGCGCCTTCATGAGAGCGCATTGATGGGACTACAGCCTGCAGCGTTAGTATAAGCTTTTGCCGCACGAAAGGCGGGTCATAAAAACAGACAAGCATACAGGCAGGCAGGCGGAAGAGCACGCGCACACGTCCATTTATCAAGCAAAATCTGCCAGCCAAAGTGGACTGGTGGTTCGGCGACTCCATGAACCCCAGCCATCAGGAGGAGGCAGGAATGAAAGCAAGAGGAAAGAAGACGTGCCGTTTAGTAGGGAGATTACTGCCACCGCCGAAGAATCGAAGTCTGCATTCAAGATTTAAACGGTGGTTTTTCTCGCCTTTAGAAACGAGCTTGGAGAGGTATTAGCACAATCTACCGAGTGGTGTGAAACAGAAGGTCAGAACTGAAAACTCATTAGGCACTATGATAGTGGTATTTAGAATTATCACATACAGAAACGCCTTCGTAGACAGGTGTGTAGGTCTGACATGCAACTCTCCTATTGCTCCATCTTTACCTTCAGACTCATAATTCTCATGACGGTCTTAGAAATAACTCGGGCGCTAACCCGATGATGGGGCGGTGGGAAATACTCGACACCCTTTCATCTTTACGGAAAAATTTCGGCCTTTGTTAGTGCTTCAGAAAGCGAGTCTAGTGAATGCCGTCGAAGAAAGACATCTTTGGTGGCTGGTTGACTCAGTGATAACTCTCGCAGCAGAAGAGAGCCATTAAAATCGCGTCGACTTTCGACAATCACGTCAACCCCAACGCCAAGCAACTGCACCATGACAAGGAGGAAAGTTTAAGTCATCTATGGGGAAGAAAAAGAAGACGGCTAAAAACCTTCTTGCAGAGAGGAAAGTCGTTGATTAAGCAGACTTTCCCAACACAAAAGATGGGAAAAAACATAATAAATAGAAAAGAAGGGATGTATTAAGCCAAGAGTGGCCCACTGTTCTACCTTTTTTAATCAGTCAGGCAAGCTTTCCTCCTTCGAAACGCGATTGGTTGTAAAACCTCGCCCATGCCTCAAGCAACGATTCCTAAATAAGCCTTGTGCCCCACTCTTTGACAATTTCTGGACTCAAAAATCTCCTTGAACGTCATTATTTCCATTTTGTTAATACTTAAAGCTCTGCATTTGTACTCTCGCTGAGTAGTTAGGTCTTTGGGCCATGCCAGTAGCCCCCAACCCTTCTGTACGTCGGCAATTCATATTCTACCCAAGTATTATAAATTCTTTCGTCTTCAAGGAAATCTGGTGACGATACATTGGTGGCAGTGGAAAGCGAACCCGATATGAAAGGACAAATATCCCGGCCTTTACTGCTGGGTGATAAAACTTAGCGGGGCTAAGAAGCGTACATGCTGTGGTTGGGAACATCTGTGATGACCTTTAGCAGAAGAGTTGAAAATGACATCTACCTTCGGGAACTACTCACACCCTGTGGTCAGCAGGAATGCTATGAGCAACTATAGTAACGCTGGCCATAAACCATCTAGAAAAGTACACAGCGGAGCTGTCCACCGTGTCTATATGAAGACGTCAATGAATTTAGCACACGATACCTCCTCCACCTCTACTAGCTAGATGGAACCCACATAGATAAGGCTGGGCACCACTGATGTGAAAAAAAAGTGGTAAAGAGGGATAGACGCGAAATCTTATCTCCACGAAACTACTTCAACTCCCATTCTTATTAAACAACTCCGCTTTTAGGTCAGCATTTTTACAGCTGGCGAGGGCCTGCACATGCCACCTTCCTCCAATACAGTTTCGAAACAGGAAGAACCTGCAAATCCAGTAGAATTGCCAAGATAGATCAGTGATGTCGTGGTCAAATATGCTTCCAGTTGCACACAAATTCGATGGCCGACACTGCTGCTTCTTAGGCGCAGGGGGTTGATCAAGGGGAGACCCGAGGATGACGGTCTTAAGGGGAGTGGCTATGCAATACTTTGTTTTCTTCTTCGTTTTGGTTTCGTGGGTACTTAAGGCTCGGCCTCTATGCTTTCGCTGGGCGCCACGCCCTCTGGACTATCCCAGCAGCCCTAGGATTGCCTTCTTTCGTCTGGACGGAAGTCTCAGGGGGCTACAATACAACTCCCGCTCTTGTCTCATGACGAATTACGGTACAAGCAAACAGGTTATGGCGGTCCACGCAGGGGAGTATGCCCCGTATCTCGGTACCAATAAGTCCTGCAATGCCTTCAAGATTGTAATAGATCGAGGCTTTAAAACATACCAATGATAGGCCACTCACAGAGGGAGGAAAGGAATACCCCATTCTGAAACAAATTCAGGAACTTCAAATTCCTTTTTCAAGGTTCAGGCATATTATTATTGTCCGAAATTGCTTCACACTGAAAGGGATGATTTGGGAAAATTCACACGCGGTGGCACAGCATGGCATAGCGTAGCACAGCCATCCTCCCTCGCCTCACCTCGTTCTATTTAAGCGATATTCGCGGCCACTAATGCACCTGACAGTAATTTGATGGACCATTAGTGTGAAGAGGGAAGTAAAAAAGAAGGAATATATATTCTACGTTTGAATATTTTGGCGTAAAAAGGCACCCACCTTCCTTGAAATATAAAGGGGTACCGGAGGAAGTGTGCTTCCTCTACCCTACCTCCGCCTTTGGATTCCTAATGATTCAAGTAGTAGCTGTTTAGGGATAAGATCTACCGATTGTACAACTTAAAGGTTAGATATTCACAACAGAAATGATAACGGTGTACAAGGTAATCAAGACGCTAGTTAGTTGATCAAGAAAACGGCTAAGACAATACGGCTCGAAAGGTACCTCACCAGTCCCTCAAATTGAAACTCGATGCCAATTTATAGAACTTGAGATTAACTCTTCAAGATACCTCTACCCTCAAGAATTTTCCTCTGCGAGACCGACTGAGGCTAGGCATTCCATACTACAGGGTCAGTCGAGATAGATCAATGAAAGAATGACTCAGGTGCTCATCCGAGGGAGGAGGAGAATAATAGGCAGCATAGAAAGATAAGCTGATTGACAATTTGAGTAAGAAGACCCATTCTGGAATGCCAATATAATCCACAGATGAGCTAACCACTTACCGCGTAGGATGTAGATCTGAAGTAAGATAAAGACAGCTGTCAATAATGACGAGCTGAAAATAAAAGTAAAGGAGGGAGGTGGACACATTTATCTATTCATTCGAAATCACGCAATTTTTTTTTACAAGCCAAGGATGGATAAACGAATGGAAATGGGATGTATGGATAGGTGGACGGATGAATGGATGGACAGATGGACGGAATCAGGATGGATATGGATGGATAAATAAATGTATAGATGGGTTTATGGATGAATAGACATAGGATGGATGAAAGAATGGATACGGGATAAATAAATGGATGGATAAGTGGATGGATGGCTGAATGAATGGTCGGACAGGGAGCCCATTACCAAATGGAAGGCCCACTTTACCCTGTAGTTTTTACCCTCTATTTCTTCACCTCTGAGATTTTCAGATAGGACGACGAGGTTGAGGGAACCCTCCATGAGGAGGACGAAAATGTCGCCAAGAGGGAGAAAAGGAATTCGTGTTTGATAGTAGGCTCGACGACATGTAATAAATTAACTTACCGCGAATTCGACCTCCGAAACCACACCGTTCCTGTTTCGATAGAAGAGAGTTGAATATTCTTCACCTCCGTTGAATACACTGGGTGAAAAAAAAAGACTTTTGACTTTACCTAGTTTCCGAATAAAAAGTGGGCAAAACTAGGATTCTTTACGAGTTGGCCCAACTAAATTAGTCGGTTGCTACACAAATGATTAATCAGATAAATCCCTTCTTAAAAGTATGAACTAGAAGACAGGAGAGGATGAACCCAATTAGAGAGACAACATGAACGGAATGACATTAAAGGACTATAAAAGTTCGCGTGAGATTGCGGCATAGGTCACCGTAATTGCTTGTCAGCTTGCAGGCACTTGAAAGATGCATGCGATTGTTTATCCGTATCACAAAATGGAGAGATCTTCCAGTCTCTCGGCACGACATCCTCTTCCTAATGCTCTTCACTATCCTCCTACTTTGCAACTTCAACTAACTCAGCTTCAAGGGGCAGATGCCTTCGGCAAATTTATTATTGGGCGTTGAATGCCGCATCAAGTTCAAGAGGATCCTCACTTACCGATCATGAGGAGTTGTGTCATTAGCGAAATCAACATGAGCAATGAGGAGGCATCAGCTTACAACTACATCATCGGGGAAGAGAAAGTCATGAAAGCCACTAGGCAAAGGGGTCCCATCCACATGAATTGCCTCAGTGACCATCAATTTTACATTTTTCACTTCTTTCGCTTTTGGTGGGAGAATTTTTTACAGACTGACTTCTTATGAGAAAGGACCAACGAAACTCAACGATCATATCATAAACTATCCCCAAACAATCCACCCACCGCCTAGACCACACACCTAGGACACACGCCTCATCACCCCTAGATAATTGTGCTCGTTCTCTGCGTGGTGCACTGCAGAGGCAAGTTTTCACTTGCTGAAGGTCAAACAGCTCGAAGGTATGCAGTAGAGAACTGCCTTGGATACAGCCAGAACTGGGCAATCAATCAGACTTAGGCAAACACAGAGCATCGTGGTGCCAGAAAGTGCGCACTTGAAAGTGGTGAGCGGAGGTGCCACCTCCATATCTTCGTGACCTGTTTTTTAGCCAAGTGATCAACACTACCTTGGCACTAGACTATCATATAATCACCCACGTACTGGA